AAACAACAGAGAATAGCCCCCCAGTGGCTCTCTGAGGGGCCCAGGGTGCTCCCTAGCCTCTGAGACTGCCTATCCTTGTCCTCTCAATGTGCCCCTCCATTTGTGCAGCCTATGCCTCTACAGATAAAGAGGCTGTCACAAAGTGGTTAAAACCATGGCATGGCATAAAACCAAGCAAGAATGGGAAGAATCGGGTGTATGGGGTCAGAGGCCTCAGACCTTCCCCTACAAACACTGTAACTGATTATTACATGATGAGACAAGAGAAGATGAGGAGAAGACTGTCCCTCATCCCAACAGCCCAGGTTGGGTCTCCTAGCATGGAAAAAGTGATAGTCATGTCAAATCAGAAAAGATGAAGGAGGCTCTCTACCGGCAGATAAATGTAAGTTGTTCTCATTTGTTCTGTGTTGGGAAGAGAAAAGCTATGTAGGGCTTTGAGCATCCTTCCAGAGAGGATCCCAGTGTCCTATCACCCACCAATCCCCATCCTTCTTTCTCCCAACCCTCAACTCCTAAACTTGCCAAGATGGCACCTGAGAAAAGAACACTTCTCTGAATGCTAGAGAAATGCACCCCCTGGAGGGAAGTGGGTGCGTCTTCATTTGCTGTTCTTTGGTGCAGGGAGTCCACTGGGAATGTTTTCCTGGGGGTGGACTAGATTGCTGGCATCCTGTGCCAGGTTCTGGAAACCAAGAAGCGATGCTCAAGAAATCTCCTCAGAGTTTGGGGGTCAGAGACCTCGGAAGTTACAGACTCAGGTAAGAACAATGTATCCCCCCCATTAGTGCTCCCAGTCCACACAAACCAAGCCATAAGGTTGGCCCTTCTTTCCTCTCTTCCCACTGTTTTGCCACTGGGTGTCCCTCCACCCCCCAATGGGTGTGGCTTTTCCTCAAGTTTGACAGCTATCATCAGCAGACCACTCCCCCTACAAAGACAACTCAACTTAGCTCCTAAAGGGCGTTTGACTTTAGAGGGCCTCAGATCTGTCTGAGGCTGCCCTCCTACAGACAAGAACAGGAACACTGTCCTACCTCAGATTCTCTGAGGGAACCTGTTTTTAATTTGGAGTCCTGGGGCTGACCACGCCAGTTGACAGTGATTGTTTGAGCAGGTTCAGAGCTTCCTAAGAAACTTGCAAACCAGATCTCAGGAGATGTCTCCTGCAGGAGAGGATGTAAAAATTCACCCTGAAGGACTTGAAAGGTAGTTCAATGGCAGAATGCTTTCTTCTACAAGGCTCTGGATCCATCCCACAGCACCATAAACAAAAGGAAACAAAACACCTCCCAGGGGATAATCTATACAGCACGTATCTTGTAAGCAGGAGAAAACCAGTGCCACTCTTAACACCCATGTAGGAATGTCATTGACCAAGGCCAGGGCACTTTGGGTCCTAATACAAGGTAAAGATCAGAGAAGCCCTAGGTGTCCCAGTCAGCCAAGCCTAAGCAGTGAGTTTCAGGCCAGTTAAAACCCTTTCTCACGGAGATAGGTGTTCCTGAGGATGATACTGTAAGTGGTCCTCTGACCTCCACATATCACTGTCAGGCTCTCTCACTGAGCATTATGAAGAATGAAGAGGCAGGAGCCATTAGCATTGAGGGTGTCTGTCTGGGTACCACTGTGCCTCCTCTTAGATATCTCCGGGCCTGGAGAAATTGGAAGGCGTGGTGCTGATGAGGGGCTGTGTAAAACAGTGTTCTGCTCTATAGCTGCTCCTACCTTGTTTCTCTCCCTGCCACCCCTTCCCAGTTCTATGAAGCCTTGCTTTCCTCATCAATAGATTGGTAATACTATCCACCTGATAGGATTGTAAAGCACATGGAATGTGGGCACAAAATTCCCAAAGTCTGTCCATTCCTAGCACTCAACTACTGTCAGCTATTATTTGTTGGTATTATTATGAGTATTATAGTGAATATTACTAACTGTAGCTGTTAACTAATAACTGTGCATCATGAAACAACCGTTTCTTTTGGACACAGGTCTCATGTAGCCCAGGCTGCCCCAGATTTACTATGTAGCCAATGAGGACCTTGAAAGTCTAATCCTCCTTCCTTTACTTCCTTTATCTCCTGAATGCTGGGATTACAGGACCACCATGCCCAATTTTTTTTTCTTATTTTTATTATGTATTTTTACTTTTAAACAGTTTTAAGGATTTGTTTTATTTTTATTTTAAAAGTTTTATGCATCATCATGTTTCCCTCCCCAACTCCTCCCAGATCCTCCCCACCTCCCTACCCACTCAACTTTATGTTCTCTCTCTCTCTCTCTCTAAATACACACACTCAAAACTGAAAATCAAACCAAACAAAACCCAATAAACCAAAAAAACAATGCCCAAACTAAACAAAAAGCCCACCAAAAAATAAACAAAGAAAAAATCATGGAGTCCATTTTGCCTTGGCCAGCTACGGGACATGGGGTCTGCCTTGACATGTGGTTGATATACCCATGACACTTGATTAAAGAATGCTGGTTTCCCCTTTGCTCATACATATCGATTATAAACAGCATCCCCCCTCTTAGTGCTGGCTTGAACCTGTAATGGTCCACGATGTGGTGCTGAGGGTGAAACCCAGGGCATCACGTACACTGGGCTAGCATTGAAATAAGAGCTTCTAAACGACACTGCAATACAGGGTCTTGTTTATAGACTCAAGAACGTATCACTTGGTGATCACCCTGGGGAGATCCTTTCTACTCTTACTCCAGGTAGTTCTTACTAAGTAGCATGGGTGGGAACTTTTCGTGACACTCACTTTTAAAAGAAAGGACCCCAGAGGCCCAAGAAAGGAGCCATGTTCCCTGCATGACCCAGGAAGTGAGTGAGTGACAGGGATGGGGCATGGATCTTGTCCTCAGACTTTACCCGCTCCTGAACCATGTGGGACGTGGGGTTTATAGCGACATCACTCTTGATAGTCCATTCCAGTAACAGATATTCTAGAAAAACCACAAGTCTTCAGGCTGGATGTCCCTTGTCACCTTCCCGCATGTCACTTGTGTCACCTTTTCCCTACTGGAAGAGTATAGGACAGTCACTCAACCTGTCATCAAGAGGAAGAAATCTCCCTTCAAATAGCAAAGCCCCAGGCATAGCTTAGTCAACAAAAGCTCAGCTAGGGGGATTCTGCATTGGAGGCATGTCTGGGGTCTCCTGGAATAACCAGGCTTTGGTTATAGGAATGCCAGGCTGGGGTCTCTCCTAACTGCCTGTCAACTGATGCTTACTACCCACTAAGCAAGGAGATATTTTAACAGATTCAAGAGAAACTCCTACTGATAGATAAGAGCACTTAACTCCCTTCAGAGGCCAACTGGCCCGGGTCCAGGTCTGTGGTTTGAATCTCGGGCATATGAAAGTTTTTATCTTCTTTTTTATATCTTTGCAAAGAATAGCTGCCATCCACTTATTTTAGGGGTTAGGGGTAACTCTACGTGGTCATTCTTGACCTCTATAGCTCATAGCTCATTCTTGTCACCCTCACTGTTGGGAATCTTGGGACAGCCACCTCTCCTACCATTCTTGGAGAAACTCAGAGAGTCTTCCCTCCCCAATCCTGCCACAGCTCCTTCGAGACCACCCAACCCTTGTGTATACCCTTTCCTTCTAACTCCTCAGTTAAGAATATATATATAAATTCACAACTCCCCAAGTCCCTCTAAACTGACAACTGACAAAATCAAAATAATACATGTTATTCCCATCCAGGTCTGGCTAAAGAAGAGGAGCCCTGAGGATTGTTTTCAATTATCTCCCATTTTCTGTGTTGTTAATATTCCAAGGGGGAAATCGATGCAACTTTTAAAAAACTCTGGTGGGGGAAAGAACCAAAGCAGGGGTCCCCACAAGGAACCCCAGCTCCACCAGTAACAGCCTGAGATAAATCATGTGGGTGGCTTCCCTTCTGACTTCCGAGTCCCTTTCTGTCAGACACACATAGCCTACCCACAGTGCCCCAAGACTTCCATGTGATGTCTGGGCACCCCATACTTCTCCTGCTCATTGCATCTAAGGGAGGATTGTGGGAAGTAATCTCTCAGCAACCTTACTCTTGCCTGACCTCAAGTTGCCTAGATATGGGTTCTTTAGCTTCCTACTTTCCACAGGGTCCTTTAGCCCTCCCAGGAGGTGCCTTCTTCAGGAAGCTCTCCCCCATTCTAGGTCCTTTTAGACCTGTGAGAAAGTGGACCTCATCTTTGACCCTTATCAAAGAAGGTATTCTCATCCTAGCAGTTTCCAACACCCCATTTTTTTTTCTTCCCTAATTCCCCATAACTCTCAGGCCACAGGTACCTCCTGTGACCTTTCTTAATAAACCTCGAGCTCCTGCGGGTTTTTTTTTTTTTTTTTTTTTTTTTTTTTTTTTGAGGCCATTTCCAGAAGAGTTTGGGGATTTCTCAAAACTGCTGAGTGCTTTGCAGCCAGATATCAATCTGGTCTGCGACACCTACAAATATGAAAGCCCAGCCAAGGAGAGCAGGCTTCTGTGTTTCACCTGGGACATGCTTACTTGCTGCATCTCAGGGTGCCTACAGCCCACTGGGGTCCTCTGAACCACTCCTTAAGGAAGACCGTATCCGCAGTTGAGACCCAAAAGAATTCCCTGGAGGTGTTCTTTTTCTATGGAAGAACAGGACAGCTCCCTCTGTGTGAACGTTCATCTATTCTTCTGGTTATTATTCCCCAGGAGAGTCTGTGAGTTTACACGCGCGACATGACAACACACACACACACACACACACACACACAGAGAGAGAGAGAGAGAGAGAGAGAGAGAGAGAGAGAGAGAGAGAGAGAGAGAGAGAGAGAGAGAGAACATGAGATTGCCCTGCAGTCTTCCATCCTCTCACATTGCCTGCCAGGTCCCAAGGATGTGGCACCCGACAGAGAGAAGCCAGCTGGATGCACTCAGAGCTCCCGGATGGACGGACGGACAGACGGGACTCATTGACTCCCTAGGTTGTAGTCCTTGAATTCTACTCACCTTAATGTTGCTGAAGACCGAGCGGGAGCAGCGTCTAGCTGGGACCGAGGAGGTGCCACTGCCCTGGCGTGCTCCGGGTCTGGGCAGGAGCCCCATCGTGACGGAGACAACGTCCCTTGGCTGGCCGCAAGCTGTGGCAACAGTTCAGGCGCAGGTTCTGCGGGACTTGGGCGCTTCGGGATTCGGCGGTGGTAGCCAGGCGATGGGGAGCGCGGCGCGGAGACTGAGCAAGAGAGCGAGTGCTCAGAAGTTTTTATAAGTGGTGACGGTGATGAAATAAACGCGCTCTCCCTCCTCCCTCTCTTCCTCGGGTGTCAGAGGTGCAGCAAGCCCCCGCCCGGCCACAGCCGCCTCTACAGGCAGGTGTCCTGGGCCCTGGCGTCTAGGCTGCTGAAGCCTAGAAACTCTAGGTCTCAACCTGGTGATCCCCAGCTGCCTAGGAGGTCGCTCAGGCCCGGAGGTGGCACACGGGGAGATCGCAGGTCCCGAGGAAGGAGCCACCGCGGATGGACGAGACAGGAGGCTGCAGGCCAACGGAGAGACCTGGGGACTTGGTGGGGTAGAGAGTGGCTACAGCCCTGAGGAAGGGGTGGGGAGTTGGAAGGGACCAGAGGGGCGCGGGTTCTCCAAGCTGTGGAAGAGAGCGGGAGTCTCCTAGTATCCTTGGCTCTTGGGATTGTCCAGAGCCGGCTCTGCGTGTCTGCACTCGCTCCGCAAACCTGGGCCCTCGGTTCCGGTGATGGCTCTGTGACTCGCCGCCCAAGCTCTGTTTGTGCTGAGGACTGATTTATATTTAAACTGCTCTTTGCGCTGCAGAGGAGGGTGGGACATAACAAGGTGGAGAGGTGGGGGCCGCCCCAGGGCTGGGCTCGAACTCACTGGAAAGGAGCCAAGGTAAACTGCAGGCGCTGTCGAGTGTCAGCGGGTCTGGCCTGAGTGCTGGGGGTTGGGACAAAGGGAAGCGCTGGTCTGACGGGATTGCCCCCCCCCCCGCACTGACCTCTGCAAGGCTGAAGTGAGCAAGCCCCCCGTCCCCCCCCCCCCCGCTGGACTGGAATCTTAGAGAGAGAAAGAAGGTGAGCTTTTTCCGGAAAAATCCAGAAGATCCAGCAAAAGCGCTTAAGGCAGTTCGGAGGAGGAGGCATCTTTCCAGCCTCCTATTCCACTGACCTCTCCAGAGCCACCTCCCACCTCTTCCAGTCCGGTCCAGCCCAGCCCAGGAAAAGATGCTCCTCAATACCAGGGACAGAGGCTGGGTGAAGGATGACCCACATTGCCTGTTTCTACCCAAGGCTGGATGCCTTTCCAATTTCTGGCCTGGCGCTCTGGGATTTCTTCTAATGTACCTACAGGCCAAGAACTCTGGACAGGGCAACAAGCAGAGGCGGATGGACAGTGGACAAGCTCTGATTGCTTTGCTCACCCGCAGAGAGAGGTACATACAGACCGACCTTCCAGGCCCGCAGCAAGCTTGATCACTATTCTGTCTGTCCCTGGTAAGATGGAATACACAGACAGATGTCCAGAGTTGGAAGTGACACTGGGCACAGATGGCCACACCCATAGTGGGTCGTGCCTGATGCTCTGCAGAGTTCATGTACCACCCGCTAGATCTAAGTAGTAGGTGCTTCGACGATCTGGACTTTGCAGGTGAGGATACTAGTGGAGTCAAATAGAAAGGGACCAAAGGCCCCACACAGCTGGGATGAGATAGAACTAGAGACCCTGAGCTCAGATTTGCCTGACAAAGCCCAGTCGTGATGCACTTTTGTGTGAGGGAGTGGAGGGACAGTCCCAGGCATTATTTCTCAGATGTTACATATCTTGTTTTTCAAAGGGGGACTCAGTGGCCTGGAGGTATGGGGGGGCAGAAAGCTCCAGGGGTCTACCTGTCTCTGCCTCCCCAGCCACCATGACTTTTTTTTTTTTTTTTTTTTTTTTTATTACATGGGATTGAACTCAGGTCCTTCTGCTTACAAGGCAGGCACTCTACTGACAACAATCACTCTAGCCCCAAGCACTTATAAAGTTATCTAGTACAGCAATCTCACCGGGGCCTCTAAGTAGTTAGAATTTCTTCCTCAATGTGTGTGGCCTTCCCATGCTCTTCTAGTAGACTCCCAGGCCAATCCACCTCTCCTGTGTTTATGCTGCCCTGCCTTTAAGTTTGCCCTGTGCTTGCTATCAGGACCAGTGTGTCACCTGCAAAGGAAGTGTTTATTCAGAAATGTTCTCAGTGGAGTTTGACTCAATGCAGTGGAGATCCAATCACAGTGACTTCAATGAGACTTAGTTGTCTGTGTGTGAACTGATGGCATGACCACTCCATGGTATGGTTAGGGGAAAGGGTTTTACTGGGGATATGAAGGAGAGAACAGCCAGAGGCATCTGGAAGAGTCCAGAGTGGGGTGCAGTGGGGTGAGCAAAAAAGAGGGACATAGCCAAACCAGCAGGGCTGAAAGAGGAACGAGCAGCTAGCTTTTGTCTACCCACCAGGACTGGGGAGATGGAGTTCCCTTTGCGGCTCAAAGGCTGTCAGAGTATGACTGGGGCTAGCTCATGGTCACAAGATGGCTCCTCCTCCTCCAGCCTTCTCTATTTCAGGAAAGAAGTGGAAGGTGGGAAACAGGAAGGGGCCAGGTTCACAGCAGAGAAGCAAATCACACACACACACACACACACACACACACACAGAGAGAGAGAGAGAGAGAGAGAGAGAGAGAGAGGGAGAGAGAGAGAGAGAGAGAGAGAGAGAGAGAAGCTTTTTGCCTTACATCTTGATGGCTGGACACAAAGTACCCCCTGCAAAGGAACGCTAAGAAATAAGCTTCACACATATGTTGTCCCTGGGATAAAACTGACGTTCTGTTGGGGAAAATAAGAGAAAGGATGTCCTATCACCAACATTCAGGGTCTCCATGTCCATGACCTCATACCAGCTCTACCAGGATCTGCCTGCTTGGACTTCCTATCCCTTGATTTCAGGAAGTGTTTTCTGTCTCTGTGGAGAGAAGCGTGTTACAGAACAATTGTGCACTGGAGATGTGATTGCAGGAGGGGGCCCCCAACTCACACAGGACAACAGGAGGGCCTGTCTGAGTAAAGCCCTAAGAATAAGGAAGATTAGGAGGGACAGATGGAAGGAGGCTACATCCGCTTCCTGGTGTCATTCCAACTAGGGTACAAAGCCAGGGACAGGAGGGACATGTGCGACTAGAAAGTGCCCGGAAAAATGAGTGGCATGCTAAAAATGGAGGCCTTATCCCCGAAGCACAGCAATAACTATTGTAGGCTTCTGAGCAGCAGGGGCTCTGAGCTAATTTGCATTTTCCATGGGCCTCTATGGCAGCCAGACGAAAGGGCCAAAGAATGGAAAAAGTTCCAGGAGCCAAGATGCAGGCTTGGACTGCACAAGGGATAGGGAGAAAAACTCAGGAAATACTGCAAGGAGCCAGCACTCATGTGCCAGTGGTGGACATGTCAGAGGTGAGTCCCAGGCTTCAGCCTGTGCACACAGCATTTGCCATGTTCATCCCTAGTAGAGGGGACCCAGGAGGACCAGCAGAGAATGGGTAATCATTGATACACCTGCAGTGTAACTCTTGCACTGCAGGCTCAGGGAACCTCCCGGGAGACTGGATGGAGATATTGACTCTAAGAGTCAGAGGGCCAGAAATCCACTGTGAGACTGTCTCCTAGAAATGAAAGGGAAGCATCACCCTTGACACCCAACGATATGGCTGCCTAAACAAGACCTGAACAAGAACACCAGTAGACATGCTAACACAGATGGAAAAAAATCTCACAAGGCCCCACCCACAGACAACTACAGGCAACTGAGGTATGAAGAGAGTGAGAGGAGCAGTCTTCCCCAAGGGTGAGGCTCGAACTTGAGTATCCAATACCAAATGGTCAGTCCCGGAATCACACACACACAAGTAACAACACGTGGACTGAGAAGGTTGGATTTACGTATTTAGGCATGTGTGTGTGTGTGTGTGTGTGTGTGTGTGTGTATGTAAAACAAAGAAAAGGAGGCCATGAATTTGAGAGGGAGCAGAGAATGGTGTGCGAGGGGTTGGAGGGAGTAAAGGGAAGAGGGAAAATGATATAACTATATTTTAATTTTTTTAACTGAAAATATAATTATTTCCGGGAGGTGCTCATGCAGACTCAACACCCAGGATAGACACTGATGTCAAGAGGAGGGTGTGGGGAGGTGATGCTTAGGCCTCCAGAAGGGACAAAGTCTCCCGGGAAGAGTATGTGGAGGAGGGTGTCCAGAAGAGACTACAGAAACATCTCTAATAGCCCAGGGGGTGGAAAGAGAGAAGGGAGGTAAGCCAGGGGAGAGAGGAGACCAGAGGCCATGCTCCAAGGGGAGGGCTGGGGCCTGCTCATGCTGTGGACAAGGCATGAGCGCAGGGCAGCTACTGAGCTGGCCGTCCTGCACTGAGGACCCACGCAAGAGTGTTTCCAGTGGGTGATTCTGGGGTCCAGGAGGACCCAGGAGAGAGTGTAAACACCCCTGACTTTTTTTCTTAGTCACAGGTCACAGTTGTTACAATATGTGTGGTGACTAATGACACACACAAGTCTTTCAGTCAGACAAAGGTTCGGACTCCATACCAGCTCTGCTCCTTCAATAGCTTTCTTAACCTTTATGACCCTCATGGGGCTGTTATAAAGTGTGTACGAGATGACAGATAACTCAGACGATTGCTGTTGTGCCTGGTGGCACTGATATTGCTCTCTCTCTTTCTCTATCTCTCTCCAGTTGATATTAGTATCTCTTCCTCCAACTCAACTGTGGGCTCCTGGAGAGCAAAGGTTGATGTCAATCCTCTTTGTACTTCCCGCTTGGCCAGAATGCCTACTTACTTGAAAAATGTGCGTTGGAGGACTGGTAGGAGGCTCAGTTGGTAAATGCTTGCCATATAACCCCTGGTTGCCACATGGACGCGCGCGCGCACACACACACACACACACACACACACACACACACACACACACACCCCTACCTTTTGGTCATATTGCCTTACCCCCATTGTCTTCTCATTACCTTCCCCCTCCCATTAAACCCATCCTTGTTCCCAGCAAACCCCCTCCTACTTTTAAATCTTTCTTTCTAGTGTTTCCATTTAGTTTTGGGTTTCTTGTGACCCACTGCATTTAATTAGGGTTGCCTGTGTGAGCCTGGGTGGGGAGTTATTTACTTGAGAAAGAACAATTTCCCAGTGGCTAGATCACTAAGGAACATGACTCTCGGGCCAAGCAACCATTAATTGCCTATGGCTCCTCGGGGAGGGGTAGGGCCTTGTGAGCCCCTCCCTTGTCCATGGTGGAATGTTGATGGGCCCAGTCTTGTGCAGGTACCCTCCACTGCTGTGAGTTCATGATGCAAAAGCCACATCACATCCAGGAGACAGCATTTCATGGTATTCCTTTCCTCCCCTCTTCTGTAATGTTCTCAGAGCCTTGGAGAGGGTGATATAGGCATGTGTTTAGTACTCAACCGCCTAAAAGCCAGCAAGAAAGTGTTTGGTTATAGTTGATTGTTTTTACTCTTTGCTGTTTTGGGGACCTGCTAACTAGCTCTCAGACTTGTTCTTTCTTATGAATGCCTGACCTTAGCTTGGCTTATTTCTAGCCAGCTTTTCTTAAATTATCCCATCTACCTTTTTTTTTTTTTTTTTTTTTTTTTTTGCCTCTGGGCTTTTACCTTTCTCTATTCCTGTATACCTTTTCTTTCCCTCTTATTCTGAGTCTGGCTGTTTGGCTGGTTGGTTGGTCCCTAGCAGCCTCCTCTCTTCCTTCTTTTACTCCTCCTCATTCTTTCTTTCTATGTATCCTCTCTGCCTGGCAGCCCCACCTATCTCTTTCCTGCCTTGCTAT